TTCTTGCTCATTTTGCTTCCGAGAAACATGCAAAACGGGACGGAAAAGATGAAATTTTGCAATAATCTTACGCCACCCTTGCACAAAACGACGATAATTTTTCTGTACAGAAGACTGTTACAGAAGACTGTATTTTTTCTACATAACCCCCCCCCTGAATTTAAAGCTGGATCCGCTCCTGCACTTACCTGTAATGCTGCTGAATAAAATCTTGTTTAAATATATGCGGAAGTTGTCCCAAGTGGTGTCCAAATGGTCTGAGATTACAGGCTCAGTGTTTCCATACTGTTTAGTGGAGGATGCAATCAATGGTTCCTCGCTTGACCAGGACTTTAAGTAGGCGTGAAGCGAACTGTTCTGGAACTCGCCGTAGGAATTGTGTTTTTTTAAGTGGAGAACCTTGTCGGTTCCTTGGACTGTCCATGGCAGGGTATACTGCATCTGATCCTCTATTGCCTTAGGAGAGTGTGAAGTTTTATTAAGGGCTGATGTTGATCAGAGCGAGCTTACGCTGGAGTAGTAGGGAAAATCGCCCTTTTCCACGTTCTCATAGCTCTCGTCTTGGGGCCAGTTGTCGTTCATAACAAAGCCGCTAAATGAGTCAACTTTTAAAACAGTTTCCAGCCAGTTGATTAAGACTTCATTGTACTGGCGGATGGTTTCGTTGGAAAAGTCCGGAAACACCACCTTCTGTCCCAGATAGGTTCCATTGTAGATTAAACCCGATTGATATTTGTACAGCACATCCAGCTTCTGGGCTGTTTGGTACAGTTCATTCCCCGCATCGTTCAAGATCTGTTTTCATATTGCGTCAGCACAAATCGTGCAGCTTTGGAGGACTTACATGTGGGGGCAACGACAGCAGGAACTTCCTGCCTCCCTTGATGGACTCATTGATATAATCCTGAACTTCCTCAACATCCTGCTTCAGTTTGCTGGAGTTCTGTAGGGCCAAGAAGAGGTTCTCATGGAAACAATCCGTATCGAAGTCTGAGACATCGTTTGCGGCGTAAGCAGCTAACAACTCGCTTAGAATCATCGAGTCGCCTTTCCTGGAAGTTTTCATTTTATGTGTAGTAAAAAGGGGGTTTGCCTTAGCCAGATCTATGAATTTCCCAAAATGTTCAAAAAATATACAGAACATTGCGGGAATATCCTGGGAATATACATAGGTGAACATTCTTAACATGAATGTTCGCGGAATATACATGCATGTATATTCATCAAAGTTCTCTCTCTATAGGTATGTACATATATGTATATATTGGGTATATGTGCAGATGAACATGCCAGGTATGTACATATTTTGTATATGTGCAGGTGAATATACCTAGTATGTTGAAAACAAATATTCCGGTAATACACATACATGTATTTCTACGGTATATTCCAAATTGGTTGAATATAAATTTTGCGTGCTCGCAGCAGAATAGTAAGGGCATGTAAAAGTAAATCTTCTTACTACTAAAACCTGAGGCATTTATGAAATACTGAAAATATGGTGTTTTGATTAACAAATTAACAAAATTTATCGAAAATAAATTTTGCGTGCTCGCAGCAGAGAAGTAAGGGCACGTACAAGTACAAGAGTTTATATGAACTTTTTTTTTTAAATACGTCAACGTTATAATTTTATTGGGCAATATTAATAACATTTCTATATTACTCAAATAAATGTATCCGGAACTAACAGTTCCCACCCTATAAAATTCAAACAATTAAAATGCATATAACAAATTCAAATTACCCGCTTAGTGTGTACACGGATTACGTCCGGCTATAACGTGACATTCGAGAGTGACAATGAGAGCGGACCAATGAGAATCATCTTTCACGCAGTGCTGCTTGGCGGTAACGCCAAAGCTCTCAGAATTTCTGAAAAGCTGCAAAGCTTATAATTTATTCGTTATTGGCATAAACAAATTATTATGTGCTATTACACAAATCTTGATTTTTTAAATTACCTATATGATTGTAGATTTATTAGTTACTAGAATACTRTCTTTCTAAGCAAGACAAAATTTAGATTTTGTCAATATCGGTTTATCAGTGATGTGATATCCGAGGTGTGACAATTCAGCACTTTTCCATGATTGACATCGGTATAATTATGGCTTAAAACCCCGCAAACATGGAAAGGTATGTTGGTGTTTAAATTAAATACATTTGATTATTTTATTATTTCTTGTTCTAAACA